GTTATCTGATTCAAGTGTGAAAGAGAACAGTTATCTTAAGTAAAGTATGGGTTATCTGATCCAAGTGTGAAAGAAACAATTATCTTAAGTATGGGTTATCTGATCCAAGTGTGAAAGAGAACAGTTATCTTAAGTAAAGTACGGGTTATCTGATCCAAGTGTGAAAGAAACAATTATCTTAAGTATGGGTTATCTGATCCAAGTGTGAAAGAAACAATTATCTTAAGTATGGGTTATCTGATCCAAGTGTGAAAGAGAACAGTTATCTTAAGTAAAGTATGGGTTATCTGATCCAAGTGTGAAAGAAACAGTTATCTTAAGCATAGTTTGATCATAAATAGTTCAGTGTTAATTTCTAATACAACTTGAAGACTGCAGGTGGCGCTTTACTGCTTAAGAGAATAACTATTTAATACTTAATGAAACACTTGTAGATACGTACATGACTGTGGTAGGCGGCCAAGGCCCATGACACCACGAATTCTTAATATTACTATTAATTACCTATGACTGGGAGTTACGTATTTACCTTATCTACCGGATTAGATGGCTGTTTTTTTTTTTCCAGAGGATCGTCAAGATCATACAAATCCAGCTGGTGATTTATATTATTATATTACTTTTATTCATTGCTCTTTCCTCTTAGTTACAGCGCTCAACTCACAATCTGCGGATCGCGGGATCGAAACCAGACCCCGAACGTGTTTCCCATTTCAGCAACGAGGAAGAGTAGCCCAAGAGTTGCCGGTAGGTGGTGTAGACTAGCTGCCTTCCCTGCAATCTGTAATTAAGCCCTTGGGTAGCTTTTATCGAAATTCAATACACAAACCAATTAAGCTTTATCTCGTATAGACGGTAACTCTGAGAGACAACAGAATGCTGGGCAGAAAGTCACGTGCTAAATACTCTTTTTTTTTTTTTACATTAGCCTACTGGGCGTTTTCGTTTAAACTTCTTATATTTTAGAATCCTGAGGAATCTCCACCTGTCTCCCAGTGGCACAGCGGTACGTCTTCGGACTTACAACACTAGAAACCGGGTTTCAATACCCTTGGTGGGCAGAGCACAGATAACCCGTGGTGTAGCTTTGTGCTTAACTGTTTGTTTGTAATTAAGCACAAAGCTACACC